TAAAGAATATTAAAAATAAAAATTTATTATTAAATTAAAGAAATTGATAAATATTATCAATTACAATCTTTGCTATGTAGAATGATTTTAATAGAATTGAATACTTTAAACAATTAGTTTAATTAATTATTATAATAAACATCGAAATAAATGTAATCTGAATTTATAAAAAGTGAAATTTTATTTACAAATTAATGATTTTTTTTATCGATTCCATCTTTTAATTTATTCCAAATTTTTCATTAAATATAAAAATTATGTTAATTAATTATTAAGTTAATAATTAATTAAATATAAAATATAAATATTAAATATAAAAATATAAAACATTAAATATAAAAATAAAAGAAATAAGAATAATTAAATAAGTTAATATCGAGCAATTTTTTTATCTTTTTTATTTAATTTAGAATTATCCAAATTTCGAAGAGTTTTCTAATATTTCACTAGTATTATAATGAATATTAGAATAGGATAATAATTTTTTTATATATCGTTAATTTAGAAATATCATTAGAAATTCGCTCAAAAAGATACAAATTATATTAAGAATATTTGTAAAATATTGAAAATATAAATTAGTACAAAAAATATAAAAAATTCAATTTAATCGAGAAAAAACATAAAATTGAAATCATTAAAAAATTATTAAAATTATTAAAAAATTATTAAAAAAATTTTCAAGTGACAATTGATTTATGTTAGGGATAAACTCGAGAATTTGTTTAGTATATATTTAATTTTTGAATAATGTTCAATTCTCTTTTAATCAACTTACATATGCTTAGGTAAATAAAATAAATTTTGGGATCTTTAATTGCTACGTAAATTGGATTTTTGTATAAATAAAAAATTAAAAGTAGGTAAGTTTGTTGTCGTTTTTTAAACTCTGTGAATTATTGTTTATTTTGCAATCGACGTTTCTCGATATTTCTACAGGTAACTTTCCTTTCTGGAAACATAGAATAAATCGAAGTACCTTTTGATGCGATTGTGTCAATGAAAAGTATTAAAGGAATAAATATACGATTGTTACATTTGCAAACTACTAGACGTTATTTTTCTTTATCCCTCTTATTAAACCCTTCTTATCGATATAAATGAAAAAGTGAAAATTTTTTATGTAAATAGTGAAAAAAATTATATTTATTTTTTTATATCAACATTCGCTTCATCTAGTGCAAAATTAAATTACTTATAACTTGGAAAATAAACTTATACGAATATTTTTACGTTATATTATTTTAAGATATTTTGCGTATCGATTTTTGAATATTTCACTTTTTAAATTTTCGTTTTAATCGTTTTCGTTTTAATTTAAAAATCAATATTTACAATTTTTTATAAAAAGAATTTTCTATAAAGATAATATAAAATTCTTTTATATAATATAATATTTTTTCTCTTCCATAGAGATAAAAAGATATTATTTTTCGAAATTGATACCTCTCTTTAAATAAAAAGCTATTAATAAAAGTTACTATAGATAGTTACTAGTAGATGGAGAGATATCGATAATTTTTAACCTAATATAAATTAAAAAAAAAAAGGTAATAAATAAACACGTATAATTATTAGAATTTCAAATAAATGTGAAATATCTACTATTTATTTTTTTCTCTATAAATGAAGGATCGAGAAAAGTAAGTAATAAAGATATATCGTTCGCCCATACAAAGTATTTTACTCTAATGCGTAAAGGTGAATTGAAAGGTAAGTGGTGAAGATCATAGATAACTTAAATGCACACACTATTTATTTCGAATGCATAATCGTACGGTTAATATACCTGGTTTCGCGTTATTCTTGTTGATCAAAATCTTGCACCGGATATAAATTATGAGTTCGCTTTTTAATCAGATATTTGGATGAAGTAGGGGGGGGG